AAAAAAGGAGGCTCACGCCCCCTAACGACGTACGCCTGAACCACAACAGTACGAATCCACCTAGAGATGGTAGCCGCCAATGCGGCCCGGACCTTACGAGGGCCCACCGTGAGCACGAACAGAGAGCCGGCCTTGCAGAAAGAAGCCGCAGCACCCAAATAAACATGGAGAGCGCGAACCACATCCAGACAGAGGAGCGCCCGCTCCTTCCTATGGACCAGCAGCGGACACAGGGAAGGTAAGACAATGTCCTCACTCAGACGGAAAACCGACAAAACCACCGGCAGGAATGCCGGCCGAGGACGGAGAACCTCCTCGTCCCCATGCAAGACCAGCAATGGGGACTTGCAGCCAATGTAGACAGCCGCCGAACGGTGAAGGCCTCCAAAAGGGTCACTTTCTGTGACCAAGGACATAAGCAGAATCTCCCGAAGCGGTTCAAGACAGAGATTCCTGCAACACTGAAAACACAAGATTCAGGTCCCACGAAGCCAAAGGCGAGCGGACAGGGGGTGCAAAGCGCGGGACCCCCTGAACAAAAGTGCAAACCAGAGCAGTAGACGCCAAGGAACGCTGGAAAAACACCGCCAAGGCAGAGAATCGGCCCTTCACAGTACTCAAGGCAAGCCACTGAGCCACCCCACGCTGCAAAAATTCTGCTGACGGAGAATAAACGCGGGGACAGGGCCCCAGCCTCACACCAGGCAAAATAGGCCCTCCAAGTGCGATGAGAAGCGTTCCAAAAAGCCGCATTGTGCGCCCCGAGCATAGTGGAAATGACCGCAGCGGACATACCCCCAGTCCTTCAGGACCTGGCCCTCAACAGCCACGCCGTCAAAGCCAGCGACTGTAAAGAAGAGTGTAACACAGGCCCCTGGGACAGAAGATCTGGACACAGGGGCAGCCGCCACGGGGCGTCCACCACCAGGTGAACCACAGTCGTGCACCACACCCTCCGAGGTCAGTCCGGGGCCACGAGGAGGACGGTGACGTTCTCGGCCGCGATGCGTCGCAGAAGCCGAGGCAACAGATACAGTGGAGGCAAGGCATAAAGCAGCCCGTAGGCAAGGCATAAAGCAGCCCGTAATGACCCCACGGAGCCACCAGGACAACTACCGCCTCCGCCCAGGGATCCAGGGCCAGGGCCACAAAGCGGTCCACCTCCCGGTTGAACCGAGACGCCAGAAGATCCACCTCCAGCGACCCCCAGCGAAGAGAGAGCTGCTGAAAACTCCCGGGTGCAGTGACCACTCTCCCGGGTCCACCGACCCTCCCCAGGAGAGAAACCTGAACACCTCACGACCTGGGGGTTAAGGTATGCCAGCCCGGTGGCGTCGTCC